CACACTCACACACAAACACACACACACACACACACACACACACTCGAACACACACACAACAGGCACACAATGTAACACACACAAGCAGACAAACATATTTGGTCTTTAAAATAAAACGTTACATTCATTACAGCAACTGTTTTCTGATTGGATGTCACCGACTTTCTTACAAACGTAAGACTCTGTATTTAAACTACATGGATGAATAAGTGTTCAAATCGTCAGGTTTGAGGTACATGTCTGCTAGTTACTGATGACTGAACGGCGACTTTGGTTTGAAATGGTCAGTGAATGTGTTTCTCTACAGATCGCTACGCCGCGCTGCTTTGGTGTTTTGGTGCTTCAGTGACCGTCGTGATGTGCTTGTCGTGTTCTTCCGCGTCAGCGCTGATCGTCTGTCATCACGGCGAGTTTGTCGGAGAACCCTTCAGACTGCTGAGAGCCGCGTGGATGCGGAAATGAAGACGAGACTCCATTGAATAGTCCTTATAATTCAACCTACAAACACACAAATACAGTCAGATTCATCAAGTATTGCTTAAATTATGGTGTTGATTTTCGAGCAGCTGCCTGTTTAAACTACTCAGAGGTGGTCAATATGACCAAAAATGAACCTCTTCTTTAAATGACGCTCTGACGCTTCTCGCAATAAGCGCTGTTAAAATTGAATGATGAAATTAATTTCTCCACCAACTGTAATTACGTGTTAAATCCGACAAAGTGGTTTAATAAGGAATGCAATCATCTAGTGAAATACAAATTTTGAACACATTTTACTATATCATTTCTTTTGGCCCTTGAACTTGGCATGTGGGACAATGCACACTGTGCCATATTGTGCCATCAGCCCATTTCGTGCCTCAGTTTCTCGCCTGCCACAGAGGATGTGCTAAAGATGACATAAGACCTTGATATTAAAGTTACTGCACAAATGAAATCCAAATTGTGAGCACTTTTTGCTACACCAATCATTTCTTATGGACCCTTGAACTTGGCATGTGAGACAATGCACACCATGTCATATTGCACCATCATCCCATTTTGTGACGCTATTTCTCAGCCACTTCAGAGGATGCGTTAAAGATGATATAAAGACTTGATATTAGAGTTACTGCACGAATGAGATCCCAACTTTGAGCACTTTTTTCCAATACCAGTCTTTTTTTTGGACCCTTGAACTTGGCATGTGGGACAATGCACACTGAGCTATATTGCGCCATCAGCCCGGTTCGTGGTTCTGTTTCTCAGCCGCTTCAAAGGAGGCATTTAAGAAGACATAATGCCTTTATACTAGAGTTACTGCTCTAACAAAATCCAAATTTTGAGCACTTTTTGCTGCACCAATCTTTTTTTATGGACCCTTAAACATGGCATGTGGGACAATGCACACTGAGCCGTATTGCACCATCAGCCCAATTTGCTGCACTATTTCTCAGCCGTTACAGAGGATGCATTAAAACAGACATAACAAATTAACACTAGAGTTACTGCTGTAACAAAATCCCAATTTTGAGCAAATATTTTCCCAAACGCCAAGTTCAAAGACCAATTAAAAAAACTGCTCAAAACTTGGATTTCATAGGGCAGTAACTCCAGTAAACTCCTTTTATATTTCACTTCATTCAATTGTAACAGCGCATATATTGTGTGCAGCACCACAGACTTAAGGAAGTGTGTTATTTAAGAGATATCACTATGAAAGCTTCAAGTTCTCATTTATTTCAGAAGGGACATGTACACGTATGAAAGCGCACTCACTTGGCGTCCTCGATGAAGCGCGTGGCTTTGATGTAATCGCCCTGCTGCTTGTAGAGTAAACCCAGCTCATAGAGGGTGAAGGGGATCAGATAGTGATCGTAACGGATGTGCTTCTCACTGTGAACACACCAAGTCATCATCGAACCTACAGCTGATTCACATCACAGCAACAAGCCACTCGAGTGACTTACAGTGACTTTACCGTAACTTAAAAACAAATGTTTACCTGCTCAGCACCTGTGTGAAGCAGAGCTCAGCCTGCAGTAATCGGCCCAGATGCTTCAAACACAAACCCTTCAACATCTGAACCAGACACTGATCATCAGGATGGAACTCAGACGGGTCTGAAACACACACACACACACACACACGTTTGTTTTTGCATGGACTTCTAGAGTTGATGACGAATCCCATAACGCAACCCCTCAGAAACCTTTTTGCATTTTTTTAATGAATTAAAACATGATTTAATATATTTATTAATCCAGCTCCCTGTAGTTTTCTACCAAAATAAAAGCTTGATGCTTTAATGTTTGAAAATGAGGAATTAAGACAATACTAAAGCCACAAATATTAGTATTGTAATTTTACTTTTGTACTTTTATCATATTATGCCATCATATTATTTTTCTTAAATAGAATTGTTTTATTTTACAGTGAAATATTATATTAGTAGTAATTCTTAGTTTGTTTAATATTTTATTTAGTAATAATAATAGTAATTATTATTATTATTATTACAATTTGGTCAACATTTGTGATTATCAATTTGACAATCTTAATAATAATAATAATAATACATATACATATACTTATTACAATCAAAAGTTGAGAATATATATATATATATATATATATCAGTATGACAATATTATTATACAATATGATTATTATTATAATTTTTTTAATTATTATTATTATTTTTTGTGCCAAATTGTGCATCAAACCTGGAGCTCTTAAAAACATTTTTTTAATCATAACAATAGCTATTTGCTTTTTTTCCCTCAAATAGTGCAGCCGTAATTTATGAGGTCAAACGCAGTAAAACAGTTCTTACTAAAGAGAAAGTTGCTAAACATGTCAGATTAGATCTTTGCAATGTGTGTGTGTCTCACTGGGATCGTTGCGTAGCTGCTCCTCCGCTCTCTCGATGGTGATCAGTAAACTCTCAGTGGCATCCGCACGTTTCCCAACTATAGTGAAGCCGTTCCACACATACATCATTTCCTGTGTGAGGAAGAACCACAGATGCATCACTTCCTCCTCTCTTCATTTACACGTGTTTTTGGTGTGTGTGTGTGTGTGAGAGTGTCTGTGTGTGTGAGAGTGTGTGAGAGTGTGTGTGTGTGTGAGAGAGTGTCTGTGTGTGTGAGAGTGTGTGAGAGTGTCTGTGTGTGTGAGAGTGTGTGAGAGTGTGTGTGTGTGTGTGTGTGTGTGAGAGAGTGTCTGTGTGTGTGAGTGTGTGAGACGCACCAGCGCAGGAATCACCAGTTTAACGGGCACGGCTGACGAGTATCTGCGTGATTTCCTGATGGCGAACTTCTCCGTCGGGATGGATTTCCCGGCCAATCGCTGCTTCAGTCCCTCCACCTGCCTACGACACACGCGGCAGAAAGTCAGCCTCAGCAAACGCAGGAACTGACCTGAGATCAGAGCCAGACTCACCTGAACAGCTCCACCTCGTCCTCTCCGCTCGTCTTCAGCTCCTCCTCAGACATCATGCTCAGGATGGCAGCTTTCTGATAAACGTAGATGGCCTGCGACGCCAGCAAACACTGATCAGCATTTATTCCTACAGTGCTTTACACTAAAGCGAGCAGATTTCCTAGTTGAGTGCAGTGCTATTTTATTATAATTGAGATATTATTTTATTAATATTTTGTATCAGTTTATATTTTTATATTTTACACTTTAATTTTAAAGTTTAAGTAATTTTGTTGTGTGTTTTTGTTTATATAATTTTTAGAATTTTTTATTTCAGTTTCAGCTTTAGTTATTTTAAGTTAAAATCAATAAAAAGAGAAATTTTGCCTTTATATATATTTATTTATTTAATACTTTTATAGTTTCATAGTTTTTGTATATTTACTTATTTTATACTATATAGTTTGTTTTATTTTATTTAAGTTCATGTTTATTTTTTTCAAGTAACAAATATTTATTTTATACTTTTATAGTTTTTATATATTTACTTTATACTATAGTTATAGTTTTTTAATATTTTATTTCATTTCAGTCAATGTTTATTTTATTTCAAGTAACAACATTTTTTTTAATGTTTTAATTTTAGTTTCAGTTTTAGTTACCTGTAACGACCCTGATTAAATGTCAAAATATCTTTGAAATCTCACTTGTTATTATTAATAAATTAAAAAAATAGGGGACCATACATTTTGTATGTTTTTGTTTTTTTAACTGTTGTGCGTTTATTATAATAAATAATTATTATTACGTTTTAATACAGCAAAAATCACACTATGAAAACAGTTGCAAAAAATTAAAATTATTATTATTATACATATTATTATAATAAATAATTATTATTACGTTTTAATACAGCAAAAATCACACTATGAAAACAGTTGCAAAAAATTAAAATTATTATTATTATACATATTATTATAAGTATAATATAACATATTATTATATTATACTTTTCAAAAACACATTATAAAATTAAAACAAAACAAATATGATAAAACTTCATTTAACAAATTTTTTTTTTAAATTCTAAATGCATTTATTTTATTTTCACAAACTATGAATATACTGTATACAGTAATATTTTTGTTATTTTATGTTTCTGCTTTCGGATCTTTACTATCCATAATTCTATGCTCATTTTCAGACAAAGCATGTGCTTTCTACAAGTGTAATTGTTTAGTAGATTATTTTTATTTATGCATCTCTTTTGTATTTTTACCAAATGTGGTAAAGGTAAGCTGTGACAACAGAACTTTAAAAGTGTGTTCAAAACCCAGATCTAGTCACCTTACTTTACACAATACGCTTCAAGCAGCTTCACATTAATAAACAGGAAAATAATAGTATTAATGTTATGAAATTCATTAGTTATGAATCAAATTCAGTTCCAGCTGAGTCATTATTCAGATCAGTTCAGCGCTGTTTTTAACTGATAGAGTCAATGATATGATATTAGTGAATATGAGGTGTGTGTTACTTTAGACCAGCGGCTCTCTCGGCACAGCAGGTCTGCGTATCGATACGCGTCTCTCCACTGCTGCTGGAACGAGTGACACCACATCAGCTCCCAATAACACAGATGATGGATCTGACGCCACTGCTGCTGCGCGGAGATACACTCCTGGAACTTCACCAGCGCCTGACAGACACAGACACAGACACACACACACACATATTAGAATTATTTCTGAAGACCATCTGCCACTGAAGACTGGAG